AGACAGACAGACAGACAGACAGACAGACAGAGACAGACTGAGAGAATACTAAGTAAAATAAACAACCTTACAGACAGATGCAGCAATGTATACTAAAATACACGATTATGTTAAACCGGCAGAAGCCAAGTATAAAAGTATAATATAATGATTCTATTCCTATGTAGAAATAACAGTCACAAAAAACAAGTCAGTGGTTATACAAGACCTGGAGATGGAGGTGAGGAATTAACTAAAAGGAACACAAAAGAACTTTATGGGATAAAATTTTTTTATGTCTTGCTCAGCTATTATTTACTTACATATATTCATCAAAACACTATTGTATGTTCATCTTATTGTATGTAGATTCCACCTCTTTTTTTCTCTGTGCAAGGTCTCACTAGGCAGCTCAGACTCGTAGTGATCCACCTGTTTTCTGCCTCCCTAGTGCTAGAATTACATGCGTGTACCACCATACCCGGACTCCATCTTGGCTCAGCACGCCGGGGGTGGGGCAGCACAGCATGTGGTGCCAGGGATTGAGCCCTCTCTATTTTTTTAAGAAGTTATTTTTTAAAAAGTCAGGGATATAGATGTAGCTCAGTGATACAGTGCTTGCCTATATGGGCAAGGACCAAAATTTGATCTGTAGCACCACAAAAGTAAAATAAATAAAAAGTCGAGCTTCTCTGGAATCTGTGATTCTAGCAAGTCATTTGACATTTTTTTTTCTTTCTCTTTTTTCTGTTTTGGTGGAACTGGGGATTGAACTCAGGCCCTTGCACTTGCCAGGGAAGCACTTATTCCACTGAGCCATCTCCCCAGCCCTTGACATTTTTTTTCTAGTATGTGCCTACATGAGGATCCTACTATCCTTTTTCTTTTAATATATAAGAGGATCCTACTACTATCTTTTATGCTCCACTTAATATTTATTAAGTGTGAATAATTCAAATAAAAATACATGTATGAAGAGTTGATAAGTGATATTATCTATCCTAGTCTAAGGAAAAAGTTAAACAGTAGCCAGAGTGCAAAATTCTGATTACCAAACCACTTAAACTTAGACTTTGATAAAATTAAATTGTTGACAGCTACACTGTCCCTCTAAACAGAGAAACAATATCGGTGTAAAAGGAAATTCTGCCACAAATTTCTGAATGCTTGGCAAATCCTATAAACTGAGGTATTATCCTTTTCCAGAAGGATAAATCAATATATTAAAATACAAATTTATGTCTCATTCAAGAGAACTAAAAAGCTTAAGTGATATTTATAAAGGAATGATTTATAGAAACTAGAAAACAAGAAAAGCAAATAATTTTTCTCACCCATTGAAAATATGCTGAATGAGGGGGTGAGTGGTCTTCATATATACATCTCGATTGGTGCACGCCTCACCAAAGACTTCATCAAAATAAAAAACGTGCTGAAAAATAAATTTGATTTTTATAGAAAGAGATGCCTTCTAATTTTCTTCACCACTATTCTAGGTAGCACATGAAAAAAGCCTAAATACATTTAAAAATAATAATAAGTGAGCATGATAAACTCAGATAATAATTGTTAAATGACAGGGGCTTCTTTTACTTGAGATCTCTATAGCCATGTTCTTACAATGTAAAAACTAAGGCATACAAGTTTGTTTCCTTCTTTTCTTTCTATATTTAGCACAGGATCTACAGGGTCTCACTACACAGATCAGACTTGTAGTGAGCTTCCTGTTTTCAGCCTCCCAAGCGCTAGGATTACACACCCAGTCTCAGTTGCAGGCTCAGTACACTCTGGGGGTGGGGCCAGCATGGCACACTGGGGATTGAACCCAGTCCCTGTTCCTGGCTAAGCAGGTGCTTTAATCCACTGAGCTATTTGGCCAGCAGCCCTTAAAGTTTTGTTCTTTTTTTAAGAGAAGTGATTTAATGAATATAAGAGTGAGCCATTTTTCTTTATGTCTGGAAAAACTCAATTCCATAGGGATATACAACTGTCAAACTCATCAAACTCAAATACTGTATGTGTACCTTATTATATATAAATCATGGTGATCCTCTTTCCTTGGCCTCCCAAGGGCTGGAATTACAGGTGTGCACCACCATGTCTGGCTCCACCTTTATTTGTAAAATGTTATGTTTTAAAAAAGGAAGGGGTGTGGATGGAGTTCAGTGCTACACTGGATAGCTAAGGCCAATATATTTGAAAGCTTAGAGGAATTTTAGATTTCCATTCTATAAGTTACGTGACATAGCTTTTAGTCACAGAAATATTTAAAGTTCAGATGGTACATGGCAGTAGTTACTTGAAAGACCCAAAAGATACAGAAGTTATCTTACCCTGCCCCCTAAAGATATATACAAATGACAAATACACAAATGACTATGAAGTAGTAGAGAACTAAGGAAGTATGCATGGGATTCAATGGAAAGAATATATTCTGCCTAACTGGTAAAGACATTATAAAAAAGACTGTATTGAGAATGGACCATGGGGAAGAACAGGAATTTGACCCTTTTCATGCTCCCCGGTAGGGTCTGTACAGTGTTGTTCCTGATTCCCATCATAACTTAAAGGGAAACTTCACAATGTCCGGAGTCCCTGATGTCCTGCAAATGAAGGAGAAGGACTTCCTCAAGTTCCTTGCTGCAGGAACCCACTTAGGTGGCACCAACCTGGATTTCCAGATGGAGCAGTATATCTATAAAAGGAAAAGCGATGGAATCTACACCATAAATCTGAAGCGGACTTGGGAGAAGCTCCTCCTGGCAGCTTGAGCCATAGTGGCCATTGAAAACCCTGCTGACATCAGCGTCATATCCTCTAGGAACACTGGCCAGCGGGCTGTGCTGAAGTTTGCTGCTGTCACTGGAGGTACTCCTATCGCTGGCCGCTTCACTCCTGGAACCTTCACTACCCAGATCCAGGCAGCCTTCCAAGAGCCACGTCTTCTGGTGGTTACTGACCCCAGGGCTGACCACCAGCCCCTAAAGGAGGCATCTTATGTCAATCTGCCAAGCATTGCTTTGTGCAACACAGATTCTCCTCTGTGCTATGAGGACATTGCCATCCTGTGCAACAATAAGGGAGCTCACTCTGTGGGTCTGATGTGGTGGATGATGGCCCGGGAAGTGCTACGCATGTGTGGCACCATCTCCCATGAACACCCGTGGGAAGTCATGCCTGATCTCTACTTCTACCAGGATCTTGAAGAGATTGAAAAAGAAGAGCAGGCTGCTGCTGAAAAGGCTGTGACCAAGGAGGAATTTCAGGGAGAATGGACTGCACCAGCTCCAGAGTTCACTGCTGCTCAGCCTGAGGTCGCAGACTGGTCCAAGGGCATGCAGGTGCCCTCTGTGCCCATTCAGCAGTTTCCTACTGAAGACTGGAGTGCTCAGCCGGCCACAAAAGATTGGTCTGCAGCCCCCACTGCGTAGGCCACTGAGTGGATAGGAACCCCCACCAAGCGGTCTTGAGCTGTTCTGCCGATGCTTCAGCAAAATGGGAATGAGGCTGATGAAAAATAAAGCAATTTCTGAGAAAAAAAAAAAAAAAAAAAAAAGAACAGGAATTTGAGAGCTAGCAATAAAGGGAGAGGAAAGTATTCCAGGTATAGTGGAAGTACGAACAGAGTCAGAAAGCAAAAGGAACTGTATGTGTAATTAATATTTAAGGATGGGCCAGCATGCAGGTTAGCTGAAATATAGGAAAAGTGAGACAGAAGCCTAGAATAATGATTTAGGTCTATGTTGTAGAGCTCTTAGGATACTAGCCTCTAGTAGGTGATGGAATGTTCATATTTAATTCAGTGAACAGTGGCAGACAATGAAAAACACTTTGCAAAGGAGGAAGATAATCTCAGCCATGTTCCTGGAAGATTAATCTGGCTTTATTATGTGCATAAACTGGAACAAAGACTAGTGGTGAGGCAAGAAAGATCTAAATTAGCTAGCATGATGGCACATCCTGCAACCCCAGCTAGAGGGAAGGAAGAGGCACAGGAGAATTGCAAATTCAAGACTAGTTTGGGCAATTTGGCAAGACCCTGTCTCAAAAACAAAACAAAATGCAAAACGACAACGAAAAACAAAATTAAAAAAAAAAAAATAATAAAAAAATAAACACTGGGGATATAACTCAGTGTAAAGCCTCTGACTTCAATTCCAATTCCCAGTATAACAAAATAGAAATCAATCAATAAATCAGGCTGGAGATTTAGCTTACTGTGATGCCTTGGGGGAAAAGTGTCTAAATATATGATGACAGTGGAAATAAGATTACAAATTTGGCAACTGGATATAAGGGGAAATTTTTTGGGGGGAGACGGGGCCTTTTTAGACAGTTCAGGCTGGCCTTGAACTCACACTGTAGCCCAAGCTGACCTCAAACTCACAAGGATGATCCTGCCTCTGCCACCTGAGTGCTGGGATTACAGGTGTACTACCACACTGAGCGCCATAGGCTCTTAAATAAATAACTTTAAAATTTAAAACAAAACAAAACATGGGGGCCAGGGAGATGGCTCAGTGGAATAAGCGCTTCCCTGGCAAGCGCAAGGGCCTGAGTTCAATCCCCGGTTCCGCCCAAAAAATAAATAAAATATTAAAAAAACAAAAACAAAATATGGCAATGAGGCAAAGGAGAGACAGATCCCATTACATTGGTTCTGAAAAACATAAATTCAACAGCTGTACTTACAGTATTTGTATAATTTAGAGGTTTTTATAGTTAGCAACCCAACTGTATCCAAGTAAGAAATTCTAATAATTTCAAGCCTGACTATAGTAGGCTTTAGAGATACACAACAAATGAGAGATAAGGCTCTACTTTCTGCCATCTTTTGGGCTTGATCTAAATATCCAGTTAAGGGGCCAGGGAGATAGCTCAGTGGCATAAGTGCCTGCCTGGCAAGCACAAGGTCCAAAGTTCAATTCTGGGGGGGGGGTGTGGGATGGGGGCTGGACTACAGTTAAGAGAAAATTGTATGGACAGATCTAGAAAACTGGAATTGGTTTAATTTAAGGAGGGTTTAATTGAATCTGCTCCAGATTCAATTCTCTTTTATTTGGGATTTTATTACATTAGAATGGAAATTTGTTAGGTCCTTTGTAGGAAAGGGAGATTAGAAAGCCAAGTTTATCATTTAGAAAAAGCTTCCAAGAGTTATTGTGCTGGGCATGGTGCTTATAATTCCAGCACTTTGGAGACTAAGGCAGGAGGATCGTTGTGGGTTCAAGGCCAGTGTGGGCTACATAGTGAGTTCAAGTCTTGCCTAAATTACATAGCAAAACCCTGCCTCAAAACGAAAAAACCAAAAACAAAACTTAATGGTTAAAAGGATATAGTACACTACATATGTATGATTGTACTTACTAAGTAACATGATTTGAAAAGACAGTATATTTAGACACATACCTATTGTTTTCATCTCTGAGTACATTTAAAAGAATTAAGAATCAATATTTATTTAGCACTAAGTTTGGTATGAACCTCCCTTTCCTTCTTTTGCTTTTGAGAAAGGAAAAGAGAAAAAGTCCTCCTAGTACTTCTACATTATAGCATTGGCAGTTAAGGACTTTGACCTATGAAAGCAAAGGTCCAAAGTTCAAACAGCAGAAGAAATGCCATGGAAACTATAGGTATTCAATAAATATTGATCAATGGTAATGACAAAGGAGTAAGTTTATTGTGTTTAGGGATAATGGAAAAATACAAAAGATACAATGATGCCTCCTTAAGGGAATTACTGTGATTGAAGCATCATTAAAGATGACTTGGGTAGACTAGTGATTGGATAGAACTATTACTGTAGCTATAACTAGCCATGGAACTAGATAGCATTACAACTAATTGGGCATTTAGACCACCTTCAAAATAAATACATCTCACAAAACCTAATAGACTGTGCATTGATCAGCAATCAATAAGGCTGTTAAAGTGATTGGGTTGGTTAAACAGTGGCCTACTAATTTACTGCCCACAGAAAGACTTGGTGGATTACTCTAGTGTCACTGGGAAACCCAATTTTGGTAATCAAAGAAAAAGAACAATGCAGATGTGAGAAGGATGTTTTAACAACTTCACTATTAAAGGATTTATTCCTGGAGGATAAGATACCAGCTAAGGTGAACTGCTAGCACCCCGGATTATTCATCACTTTTTTGCTCTCTACCAGTTTATGGATGGTGAGGCAAGTAAATGAGAGGAAGAAAGAGAAATATAATGTGACTGTTTAGGGAGCCAGATTCAAAGCAATACAAACTGAATTTCAAAGTCTTTACAGCTGGTGGATAACCTGTTCTGCTTTTGATTATTCACAACTGTTTCAGAATTTTAGGAGTACCTAGTTACACAAATTTACAAGTATCAAAAACACGATCTTTCTCATCTGTGGAATTTACTGCTTCTCTATGACAATGAAGAGTTATTGCAAGGGTACCTATGAGAGTAAGTTCAATACCAAACCTTCTTTGTAATGATTTTTAGCCAACAATAAACATTTTTATGTATCTGAGCTAACAATGTTTTATTTACACCTTTATATGTTAGATATGAAAGCATATGCCTGGATTATATTTACTCATTGCAATCTACCCTGTATAAAGTGGCCTTACCAGAACCCCATTCAGACCAGTTGAATTTAAGCCCAAGGCAGCTCAAAATCAAACTGCTCTCTGCAGACTTGTTGCTCAACAAGGTATTGTCCATCATTAAACTCAAGACTTACACTCAGCAGAGTGACAAGATCACATTGTGAGATGTAGGCAAGAATGGAGTCCAACTACAGGCCCATCTCTGAGTCACATGTTTGGCTGGCAACCACTTATTTAAATTATTTTATACCTGGCATAGTGATGCTCACTGTATCCAAGCACTCAGGAGGCTAAGGCAGGAGGATCACTGATAGTTCAAGACTATTTGAGGCTACCCAGTGAATTAAGGTCAGTCTGAACAGTATGAGACTCTGTCTTAAGACAAAAACAGTATTTTTATTTTCTTCTCCCCTCGCTGTTTTTTATGTATACATTCACACAAAATGTTTTAGGTGAATGTATGATGTAGTTCCATCACGCAAGACAAAGAAATGACATTTCTATATAACCTCCTACACCATACTTTTTAAAAATGAAGGCCCAAACTATCGATGATTTAATGCATATGTTATGTCAGGCATGACTATCAATACCCAAACTATAAACTGGATTTCAGAAATTGTATAGAACCATTTAAATAAAAAGCATTAAATTAACATACTTCGTAATATTGATTCATATTGATTCCAAATATAAAAGGAAAACATCATACCTGTAGAATATATTGTGTGAGGTCTACTGCTTCTTTTTTCTCATGCACAAGTAGAGTTTCTTTGTCTTCTACAGTAATAATATTAATTTCTCCACGACGTACTTCCCTTATTCCCAGAGGCCGTTTTCGAACACAAACTCTGATTTTCTCCATCTCAGTCCAAGGATTCTCTTTATCTGAGGTGTTCTGTCTGACATTTGTTTATAAATAGGCTTTAATTTTTAATAATAGGATAAGGCTATAATGTGCAAGATATTGTCAAGGCACTTTTAAAAATTAATAGATAGAAAACTCCTAAAAATCATTTGTAAGCCTGATATGGTTACAGATGCCTGTAATCACAGCACTCACGAAGCTAAGGCAGGAGGATCACCTTCAGTTCCTGGCCAAGTTGGGCTACACAGTAAGTTCCTGAAATACACAGTGAGACCCTTACTCCAGAAAAGAAAAAAAAAGGCATCATTTGGACTGGGATGCAGTGGTGGAGGGCAGCCCAATACTCATGAAGCCCTGGGTTTAACACTAAGCCCTAGGGGTAAATGGATGGACAGCAAGCATCATTTTGAAGTTAAATAGCAAATCTTGGCAATTCAATTATTAAAACTGAATGAGGGCATATGGGGACTCTTCTTTTGTATATGTTTGAGTTTCACACACAAAAAAGAAAATTTTAACTAGGCATGATGATGCATACTTGCAATCTCAGCTACTGAACAGGTTAAGGCAGGAAGATTTCAAGTTAAATGATAGCCTGGGCAATTCAGTAAGACATGTATAGCATGCACAAGGCCCTGGGTTCAATCTTCAGTAATACCAGTGGGGAAAAAATAATAATCTATTCTGAGACAGTGTCTTAATAAGTTTTCCAAGTTAGGCTTGAAAGTGTGACTCTCAGCTTCTCCAATTACTGGAACTATGAGTGTGTGCTGAGATGAAGATAGGAAAAAAAAAAATTTTTTTTTTCATGTTTTTAGGACAGGGTCTACAGGGTCTACAAGGCCTCACTACATAGACTGGACTTGTAGTGATTCTCCTGTGTTCAGCCTCCCAAGCGCTGGGATAACAGGCGCGCAACACTGCACCCAGTCTCAATCACTGCCTCAGTGCACCTGGGGGAAAGGTCAGCATGGCATGCTGGGGATCAAAGCCCAGCCGCTGTGCTGTGCCTAAACAGGCGCTTTAGTCCCCTGAGCTATCTAGCTGGCCCAAAGAAAGAAAATTTTAATGTATCATTTTAATAATGGTTTTGTGTCAAATCTCTAGCTATTATTGAGTATTAATAACTTATTCATATGTAGTTAATCAGAAGACAGAAAATGTTTATAGTCTTTTTAAAAATTGTGCAAGGCACTAAGAAGAATATATGCAGTGTATTATTTGTTGAAAAAAAAATTAATTAAAAAAAAATTGTGCAAGGACTCTTGGATCAATCACATGGACAAAAAGATTTGTCATTTTTAAGTACAAAGGGCCAAAAGGAATGCATAATAAAAAGCCCAATCTTCCACAGAAGAAATAAACTATGACATACAGAGTTAACACAACTGGAGTTAGATCTATTTAAGATGTTAATTAAGCCAGGGCAACCAGTTTTCTAAGTATATTAGACTTTAATTAAAATTCTAAAGCCAGCAAATTAATTGAGAATTCTTGAAATACCTGAAAAGCAAAAATCTGATGTGAGGTATCCAAAAAGAAAGCTCTTTGGTGCCAGGCATGGTGGTGTATACCTATAATCTCAGCACTTGGGAGGCTGAGGCAAGAGAATCACTGCAAGCTCAAGGCCACCCTGGGCTACATAGTGAGTCCAGGCCAGTCTGAACTAAAATAAAAAAAATAAAGTTCTTTTGATTAGATGACTCCTAATGCCACGTCTTAATTAGAATTTTTTTTTTTAATGTTTGAAAATCCTTATTACTATTTGGGACCTGGGGTATACTGAAGGAAATGTACTTTCTTACTTTCAGTTCTTTCATATAAAATGGGAAGAATGAGCTAACGTAAGAAAGTACACTCTGAATTAAGATCATATTTCAATGTGTACAGACGAACTAAGTGCTCCAAAGATCTACCTAACTACATGTTCCCTGCTTTTAACTAAGCTATAAGCCTCCTGGTTGGTTTAAGAGAATTTGATACCCTTTTTAAAAATCCTGTGAATTGTACAGTATTTTTTCACTGTAGGAGGCCAGTTATTTTACCTTCATGTATGTACTAGATGTATCATGTTACACTATAATAAATAATAGAAATAGGTCTGTTGTAGAAATAACAGATTTTGGCAAGTAACAGCTGTTTGATGCACATAAACAGTATCATCTTTCTTCCATTTGCCCAGTTCCAATTCCTTGTTAATTTTTCTCCTTCCAGGGACAGTATTTCTATTAGTGACACAAAAGCTGTTCATCATCATTTCTCTTATATTTATTTACTATAAATAGGGTAGTTGCTCTCTTCTGGTCATAAAGGAGAGGCCTGCTCTTGCTTGAGGCAAACTTCTCTCAAAAACAAAAAGAGGTAAAAATAAAAAATTATTACCTGATACAAGGTTGAGGGATTCCATAGTTGTACCCCGAAACGTGAGAGATTCTCTGAATAATGGGAATATCACAATTTCCCAGTATCGGAGAAAAGAGATTTGATGAAGACAATGAAGCATTTGTTTCTGTTTGCACATAGGAATCAGCAGCAGTGGCACTCGGAGTTTGTGTTTTTATATGGTACTGGGAATCATTTGGGAGCACATGTTCCAGTACTTTCAGGTTAGTGGACTTCTGCTCATTTTCAGAGAAATCTGACATATTATGCATTTCAAACCCATTTTTGCTAGCAATTCTGTCTTTGTTGTCATTAGGAGAATCAAACTGTAGTTGTCTGCAAGGGCCAGATTTGAATTTTTGAGTCTTAAGGTACTGGCTGCTTGTCTGAAAAGGATGGTTTGGGCTGACTGTTTTCTCTTCTTCCTGCATAATCTTAATGATTTTGATCAGTTGGAAGAGACGTTTGCGGTCATTCATGTCATGGACTCCCAGTTTGGAGTAGTCTTTCATTGTAACCTTGGCTAATTCATCTATTTTCTGAAGGCCAAGGGCAGTAAAATGAGGATAATACTGTGCAAGTTCAGCTTCACAAAGACATTCATATAACCAGGATGTCATTTTTATGAATCAGTTTTTATAAATTCTGAAGAAAGAGAGGAAACACTGTTCATTTAAAATACAGTATACATAATAAAATTTTCCTTTAAAAAATTAAGACAGGATCCAGGCATAGTGACACACACATATAACCCCAACACCTCAGAGGCTGAGGAAGGAAAATTTTAAGTTTGAGGCTACCTTGACTACACAGAGAATTCAAGGTCAGTCGAGAATAGTGAGCCTCAGTTTCAACTCTACCCCCAAAAAGGCATTTAAAAAATGTAGAAATATATTTTATCATCACAAATTTTCAATAAGTGACTAAGCATAAAGTAAAATGTTTTGTATAGCTTATGATGAATTTATAATAGACATAATTTGCTCATCTGATTAATAAAGACATTTTCAACTATATACAGAGTCTGACAAAAAAAATTATACACATTTCAATAGTTTGTCATACTAAAAAATGTCTAGAAGCAAATGGCCACCACTTTGAGCATCTCTTGTAATTGTGGAGGCCAAACGTAATGTATTAATCTCATGACGTTTTAATAAATTCAGTAGTAAAATATTAACACAAATTTTTCTTTTCCTGATGCATACTTTTTTTGGCAGACTCTATTGAAATAGTTATACAGACATACAACAAAAATCACTTACTTCTTGGGAGTTCCTTCTAACTCTGCAATGTCTACTTAACACGTGCCACTAACTACTGAAATCTTGTTCTCAACCACTGATTGCAGCAGAACTAATTATAGATGTTCAACTTAATGGCAAGGCATGTCGCACAACTGTTTCCAATGATTAATGAACAAAGGCTATGAACTCTTTCAAAATAGAAAGTGGAATTCAATAGCAGACTACAGAGGATTATAAACTAATACAACTTAGAGGAAATCACAGTTATATTTGCTGAGTACTGGCAAAAGTTACTTAAAACTAAAAACATCATCAATTCAGAATTAACTCAGTATTTTAGATCATTTTAAAAGGTGATCATCTATATTTCCCTCAGTAGAATATGAATCAGGTTATTTATGTAGGAAATTGACACGTCAAAATTTTAAGTAGTCATATATTAACATGCTTAAAATTTTAATACCAGATATTTAATTAAATATTAGCAAATGATGTGGTAATAATATATTCCTGGTCTAATATTAAAGTCAGGATTCCTGAGGTCTCCATAAGAGTTAATCAAGTTCAAGTTTATGTGTCTACTAAAGTGAGCTTAAATAACATTTTCTTTCTTCCTTTCCTTTGGATACTTGAGACTAAACCCAGGGTCTTTACATCAGCTACCTCTCTAGTCCTTTTTTATTGTTTTATTTTGAAATAGGCTCTTGTTAATTCACCTGGTTAGGACTAGAATTTAGGATCCTACTGCCTTAGTCACCCAGAGTGCTGGAATTAGAAGATTGCCATTCTCTTCTTAAAAAATGATTTGGTAACTCAGAGTTCTCAAAATTCAATTAATTACTGGTGAATTTTTGTTTTAACTTTAATTTATATTTTTGTCTCCTAAGAGAAACAGAAGAAAGTTGAGTGCATGGTAATAAAGACAAAGAGCCCAAGATAGTTAACTTTAGAGGAAATACTATGTAGGCTACAGAAAAAGGCCAAAAAGGCTCAATGCATCATAAACTCATCCAGCCCTCTTCCATTTGTAGTGGATTAAAAATTAAAAAAAAAAAAAGCAAAAGCAAAAGCAAAATTCTTTGCAGTCCTTCCATCTAGAAGTAGAAGCTATTTCACTTCCCAACGTAGAGTCTGTTTCTCTTCCCATTGCATCTAGGATGACCTTATAATCTGTTTTGGCTAGCAGAATATAATGGAAGCAACACTGAGACTTCCATGCCTAGGTCTCCAGGGTACTTGCAATGTCTAGTCCCACTGTGTGAAGAAATCCTCTCAGCAGCCCTCACTAAAGTGGACATCCAAGAGAAGCCAACTTAGACCATTCAACCCAATGGCGTCACAAAATGATGGCAGCCACGGGTATGGTCCCAGCTGAAACCAGGTGAAAAATTACCTAGTGAAGCCCAACCCAAGTACTTGATACTAAGGTATGAGCACTGATTGTTTTTTTGGTTGAACTTAGGTCCCTGTGCTTGCCAGGCAAGTGCTTATTCTACTGAGCCATCTCCCCGGCCCAGCACTGATTGTTTTAAGCCACATTTTAGGGATAGTTTGTTTCACAGTACTAGATAATTATGATACCACTTCTGTGCCTTAAATTTTATTTATTTTTTTGCAGAGCCAGGGATAACTCAGGCCTTTGTACTTGCCAGACAAGTGCTTATTCAACTGAGCTATCTCCCCAGTCCCTTAAATTTTATTATTGGATTTATTTTTTAAGATAAAACTCAATAGAAAGCTGAGATTTCCCAAATATCCCTTGGCTACACATGTATAGTCTTCCACCTTAATGAACCTCACTAACAATGTGCATCATAGCATTCATTAGTTCATTTTAGCGTTAAATATTCTATGGACTTCAGACAAATATATGACACATTCACATCTGAATAAAACACTTTCATTGCTGTAAATATTGTATGTTCTGCTCATTCATCTTTCATACTCTCATGCCCCAGTAATCACTGATCTTTTAATTCTTGTACAGTGCCTTTCCCAGAATGCCATATTGTTGGAATCATACAGTATGGATGTAGCTTTTTGTATTGGCTTCTTTCACTTTATAATATGTATTTAAGTTACCTCCAAGTCTTTTCAAGGCTTGATGGCTCATTTCTTTTTCAGGGGTTCATTTCTTTTCTTTTTTTTTTTAATTTCTTTTTTACTGGTGAAAAATATCCCATTATCTAAATCACCATAGTTTATCCATTCACCTAATGAAAGATATCATGCATGCTTACAAGTTGTGGCAATTATGAACAAAACTCCTATCAACATCTGTATGCAAGTTTTTATGTGAATGTAAGTTTCAACTCCTTTGGGTAGGTACCAAGGAGTATGACTGCTAGATCATTGGGTAAGAATCTACTCAGCTTTGTTAGAAATTGCAAAATTGTCTTCCATGGTAGCTGTATTATTTACATTCCCACAGCACTGACTCAGATTTCCCAGTGCTTTGAACTGTTGCCAATAATTGGTGAGGTCGGTTCTCTGAATTTGGTCATTCTGAAAGGCTATAAGTAGTGGTATCTCATTATCTCTAGTGCCTTTTTAAAATGCTAGTTAAGAAGGATGTACAATACCTCTACATTGAGAACTACGGTACTCTGAAAAAGAAGAGTAAAACAGATGTTAGAAAATGGAAAGATATCCCCTGTTCTTGGGTAGTAAAAACCAATATTGTGAAAACGGCCATACTTTCAAAACTGTTATATAAAAAAACCTGTTATACAGATTTAATGCAATTCTAATAAAAATTTCAATAGCATATCTCACAAAATCAGAGAAAACAATCCTAAAATTCATTTGGAACCAGAAGAGACCTAGAATAGCAAAGGCAATCTGGGCAACAAGTGCAAGGTAAGGGACATCACCACCTATAATGTGAAATTCCACTATAAAACTACTGTGATGAAAACAGCATAGTACTGGCAAAAACAAAAGACCTGAAGATCAATGGAACAGACTAGAAGATGCAAAAACAACTCCAGATATATTCAGCTACTTTATATTTGACAAAGGGGTCAAACACATGTGCTGGAAGGTAGCCTCTTTAATAAATGATGCTGGAAAACCTGACCTCACATGTCAAAGATTGAAATTGGGCCACTATGCACTAAACTAAATTTGAATTGTCAAATATCTAAAAATTAGAACAGAAACACTAAATCTGCTGTAAGATAGAATAGGTAAAATTCTTGAAGGCATTGGTATAGGCAAAGACTTAATGATTAACACCCCAAATGCACAGGAACTATTACAAAGAATCAACAAGTGGGATCTCATCTTATTAAAAAAGCTTTTGAGGGGCCGGGGAGATGGCTCAGTGGAATAAGCGCTTCCCTGGCAAGCGAAAGGGCCTGAGTTCAATCCCCGGTTCCGCAAAAAAAAAAAAAAAAAAAAAAGCTTTTGCACAGCAAGAGCATTATGGTTTGTGTCTAGTTATCCCCCAAGCCTCATGTAGTCATTAGGGTGGGCTCATTTCTTTTGTGATTAATTCATGATCCAATGCTGGGATTATGGATGTGAGTGCTACACCCCCGGGTAGCCTGAATGCAGTATAAGGAAAGGAGAGAGGCTTATTCTCTGCCATATCCCCTGCTCCTACATTTTTGCTCTTACTGTTTTGCTGTTTTCTGCCACTGTGAACTGCTGTCCTCGGTCATGTGCCACTAACCCTCTACAAACTGTGAGCTAAAATCTTTCTTTAATTTTGGGCATCATGTATTTTGTCCCAGCAATGAGAGGAAAGTAACTTAAGGAGAAACCACCAACAGAGTGAAAAGACAAGCTACAATGTGGGAAAAATGACTGCTGGATGTTCCTCTGACAAAGGTTTACTATGAGAACGTATAAAGAACTCAAAACAAAACAGTCCTCCCAAATTTAAAGACCCAAGGGCCAGCCAAATAGCTCAGTGGATTAAAATGCCTGCAAGCAGGTGCAGGGGCCTGGGGTTCAATCCTCAGGCCTGCTGTGCGAGCACCGCCACAGGGGCATGCTGAGATGGTAACTGAGACTGGGCGTGGTGGTGCACACCTATAATTCCAGTACTTGGGAGGCTGTAAACAGATGGATCACTATGAGGGATCACTATGAGTCCGATCTGTAGCGAGACCCTGAACACCCTGCAGACCCTTCCCTAAAATACAAAAAAAAAAAAAAAAAAAAAAGACTCAATCCAAAAATGTGCATCAGAGACAAATATACACTTTTCAGATAAAGAAATACAAGCAGCAAATAAATATATGAAAAAATGTTCAGTATCATTTTTAGTGATTTGAGAGATGCAAATTAAAACAACACTGAGATCCCATCTCCGGAAAGAATGGCTATCATCAAGATAACAACAAATGCTTGTGGGGCTGTGGTAAAAAAGGACTGGTGGTGGGAGTGCAG